GAACGCTTTTGGTGAGTTCTGTCAGTCTGCTTCCTCTCACAGAATTAAACAGAAAAATCCTTTGCAGGACTGGAGGGAATTTTCCGGGAACAGAGCCTGCACTGTAAGATAGCTTGTTGTCTTTCCCATGCAAAAATGCATTTAAATACTAGGTGACCTTAATGGGAGTATCTCATACATTGCCAAATCTTCACAGAAATCTGGTTGATTTTTTTTTTTTTTTTCCTACGGAAAAGAAACGCAATCCTGTTTAAACTTCCCAAGTGTCTCCTGTAACAGCATCAGTGCTGTTACACAGTCCCAAACGAGGGTTTCCTGGACTGATGCATGTGCTCATTGTAACCTCCTGCTGATCTTGTTGAAGTTCAGCCACCGAGTAATTCCCGAGACTCACTGAAAGTGAGATGTAATTTTTATTTAGGCTGTCCAATTATAACAATCCCCACAGAGAGAGACTCATTCAGGGCCTTTCCTGATAAAGATTTCCAAGACTTTTTCTGCTTTTATGTTGAAAAAAGAAAAAAAAATAAATTGTATTCCTGTTCTTATCAGAGCTATGGCAGGAGAAGAAAATAGTGATAGTAAGGTTTGAAGTGGTGTTTTCAGCTTAGTGATAAATACCAGGCAGGAAATGTTGCTTCACTTTGAGATGAAATGGCACAGAAAGTATCCAATCAGCCAGTCCCTACCTCTTCCATTGTTGATTTTTCTCTAATTTGCCTCATTAGTCTTGCATTAAGGAGGAATCAGATAAGGAAGTAGGCGGAAGGAAAGAAAATAAAAATCACAACTGCAAGCTCCAAAAAGTGCCAAGACAGATTTGTAAAGACAGCTTAGTTTAACATGCTGAAAACATGTTTCCTTTCCCCAGAAGGAAAAGCCTTAACCTGTAAATCTAAATGGATGTATTTCGAGTAAATGATTTCCTAGATTCAGCCCTATACAGAAGATTATTGGCCTTTACACAATACCGAGGTCAAGCAGTAAAGTTTTGTTGGCATCTGTGGTTTTTTTATTGTGCTTCGTTAAACACAATGCTTGTTGGCTGTTTTGGAGTGATTGATCTCAGGCACTTGATGAGCCTTTCGGAGATAAAAGGAGGGCTGAAATTTCCAAAGGAGTGCCTCAAAGCTGAGATACTGCAGGATCCACCTGTGCAGTGCAAGCACCTGAAAGAGCTGAGCGGATTACCCATTAGTGAGGAAATGGGCCCGTCAAGAAAGGCTGCTTATCTGAGATTTTAAATAACAAATCTCACGAGGTGGGACCTTGTCCATGATGGGAAGATTATGCCCCTTCTGTTTAATTAGCAGCCATCTGAATGAGAATAGCTAGTGACTGGCTAATAAAGTTTTCTGCTTTACAGCTCTTGCTGCAGTCCTGGCGTTTTTAAGCCCGTTTTATGTGACAAGCCACCCAACACGACTGCGAATTTCCATAAAAGGAAATCCTCCCCAAAAATGTGGAACTTAATAAAACGTCCTCATGGGCTTTTGAAGCCATCATATCCAAACTCCTCCTGTGAGGCAAGAGAATAGATTTTTTTTCCTGTTTTATGGGCTGTGGATGGCCAGCCAAGTACATTATCTAGTGCCACGTAGGAAGCCTGAAGAGCTGAATCCCAACTGGGCTCCAGCTCTAAGTCAGGGACCATCCACACTCTGCAGGAAAATTTTCAGGGCCTTTGAGCAGAGAAAGCCAGAACAAATAAATCCAGTGTGACGGAGAAGGCTTTGATTTCAACAATAAAACCAAAAAAGTACAAGTAAGATTGTACAACTAATTATTGCGGTATAATTAAAAGCACAAAGGGTATAAACTCCACTTCTCATCCTGAAATGATGGTCAGGCAGACTCCCCAAGGACCAAAGGGAAGGTACAGGGACCAAACCCCTGTCCCTGGGGCTGGGTCCTGCAGTCACCTGGCTGCACAGAAGCCTCAGGTTTTTGAGGAAAAGTCCCAGCCACCCTGCCATTGAGGATTTTGAGAGTTTTTCAGAGTGGGTGGTGCAGTGGTGTCTGCCTGAGCCTGTGGTCTGTGCTTGATCCAGGGTGGGTTGTGGCAAAAAAACAGAGAATAAGAAAAATTTTAGCTGATTTTTGGTATCAGTTGGACAGGGCTTGGAACAACTTGTTCTAGTGGAAGGTGTCCCTGCCATGGCAGGGGGTGGCACTGGATGATTTTAAAGGCTCCTTTCAACCCAAACCGTGCTGAGATTCTGTGATTGCTCTGGACCTCCTTTTCCACAGCTGGAGGAGAAGTGTGGCCAGACAAACCTCCTCTGAGGTACATTTTGTGTCTTGTACATCATTAAGATTCTATGTCCAGAAACGTACATTCTGGAAGCACTTTGCATTTTAATACAGAGAAAAAATTAATGTCTTTTGCGGTAATGTTGCTTAAAGAACAGAGTAGTGATGGTTTTCAGGTCACTCTGTGCAATCACCCAGTGTCAATATTTCTGACAAGGCCTAGAAACCTTACAGCAACTTTTCTTCCATGTATTCACCAAGTATTTGATTCTATTTAGCTTTTGTCTTATGAATGATGCAGCATTGCCAAAGGTTTTTTCCCATTAATTTTTTGCTGGTATGGTTTTACTGGAGATGGTGCAGTCACCCAGATCTACACCAGTGGAAACCAGATTCATGCCTGTGCTCATGCAAAGATCTATTCCATAAGGGAAATGCAAAATATTAGTTCATTTGTCCAGTAGCCTATTCCGCTCAAATTGTGAGAATCTCCTTGTATCATTGTCCCACATTGTCAGTGTCTAAATAAGGAACTGGAAAACTACAGAGGGGCTGGGTGGGGACCTAAGAAAGCAATTCAGCAGTCTGGAACTTCCTCTGCTAAGCAATTCTGGCACCAGACCCAGGCAAAATCAGAGCTCCTCAGCCAAAATAAATCTGTGCAATGACGATATCAGATGTGAGGTAACAGCAAGTCATGCTGGAGGATATCAGACATTCTTGAGCAAACCACAGGGCCTAGATGTAATACTCTGCCACTACGCTGCAGCCCTGCCAGCTAAGCAAACACGAATTTTGGAGTCATTTTGGCAAGGCAAGTAAGAGCATATGGAGTCTGTGTGCTGAGGGTGGGAGCTGGCAGGCTGCTGAGCACCTCCAGCTCACACGCCCCCAATAGCCACTAAATATCCTTCATTCCCACACTCTCATCCCTATGGAAGCAAGCAGCTCTGCAGTGTTATTTCCACCAGAAACAGCTGCAAGGCTTGCTGAAATCTTTCCTTGGCTCTCAGGACGTTATTGATGGAACATTCTGCCACTAACCTAATAGTTTTCTTTAATTTTTGTACCTATGCACATGTTCTTGAAAGCAAATGGATCCTAAATTTGAGTAAATTAGTTGGTGTGCACTGTAATTTAGGGCTGTTAAACACTGAAAAGTTGAGATGGAGTTAATTTAGTTCCAGCTGAAAAGGGGTATGTTTTATTAGAGGTAATAAATTCAGTGCAGAACAAATTTATTCAGACTCTGCTGGTTAAATTGCCTGGATAATTAAAACCTATGATGGGTAAGATGACACGTGGTAGGAAAAGGTTAAGTATTTAACTCATTTTCCTTTCATAGTTTGATTCATTGTAAGGTAAATACTACTTGTGTGGGGTATGTTAACTTTATTTCTAAAATGTGTTCACCCAGGCAGTGAATAGGGGTTATTTCACGAAGTTAAGAAAATAGAAAACTAAACTTTTATGACATTTGTACAGGCCAGCTTTAGTCAGAAAGATGTAAGCACTGGGGAAAATATAAGCAGTGTAGAAACTGTGTCATTTTGCCCATACAAGGGTCTAGCTGCCTGGGTAGTGTCTGGCATTTATGTGAATTCCAGTTCTTACAGATAGCTATTTTTAACCTTCCCTAAATTCTTCCTGGAGTGACACAACAGAAATCCCAGCAAAAATCGCACATTTTAGGAGTAGTTTCCAAATCGAAAATTTTAGGAGTAGTTTTCCAAATATTCTCTCACTTTTCTTGACACAACATTATGCAAATCTCAGATTCCTGTGCTTTGTTTGGGAGCAAAATGAGGGATTGTCCCACCTCTGCTGGCTGCCAGGACAGGAGGCTGTATGGGCCCTGACAAGAACTGCTGCACAGGTTTCAATCAGTCTGACAAAAGTGTCGCTACTTTTCCTGCTGGTTGATTGTAAAAACAGACTGAATCCTCCCAAATTTTCACCCAAAAATGACATTGTGCTGGTATTTCACAGCCATTCGAAGGCTCTTTTGTCAGTTTTTGTTTGTTTGTTTGTTTTGCACGTACCAAAACTCACATTTCTACTTCTAAATGTAGTGCATTTTGAAGAAGCACTTTCTGCTGCTATTCATATATTTTCATAGATGTTTTAGGCTGCTTTTTCAACAGAGGGCAGAATTTGAATCAACATTTCTAAAGCTGAGAGACTGCTCTCTGGGCTCAGACTGCCACCTAGCATTTTTAGTTGAAATACCAATCTCTATGGTTTTGGGGGCCACATTCTGACTCTTTCACTCATGCTGCACCTAATTCTGCATGTCATCCCTGTGGAATGACTTCATTAACTGGATGAAATCATGCAATGCCATAAATAATCCAAGTCTGGGAAGTTAATCTGTAACTTCTCACTTAGTAGATGTGCTCTAATGAGGGTCATGGGATATTTATTTTCTTGCATTATATTTCATGATATTTATGTAGGAAAGAGTGTTTTTGACACACGTAGGATCCAGTTTTGCTTGTGTCTCTTTGTTTTGTTCACCTGACATCAGTTTACAGCAAATGAGAAGTTAGACCAGAATATTTTTCCCCTTGAGATAATCTTTAACATAGTGGGAGGATATTATAAATATACCTTTGTTTAGCCCACTCTTAGCAGCCTGAATCAAACAGCTGAGATTGATTCTCACTACAGGTGATATCATGTGCTCTTTTGTTAATGTAAATATTCTCCAGCACTGGGAATGATGGTTTTGCTTCTCTTTTTTGCAGCAATATGAGAACTGGAGACCAAACCAGCCAGACAGCTTCTTTTCTGCTGGGGAAGACTGTGTTGTTATAATCTGGCATGAGAACGGGCAGTGGAATGATGTCCCATGCAATTACCACCTCACTTATACCTGCAAGAAAGGAACAGGTACAAACTTTACAGTGACAAAAGCATAATTTGCTAAATTGCCATTCAGTACTTCTGACCAGGTTCTCTGGACCTTGGTGGATCCATCAGTTTTCAGTCCTTTTGAACATGTCACTGAGGATGACATGAAGAGCTCTAAAAAAAGGACTTTTCCCTTAAATGCTTGCAGTAACTTCACTGGCTTTCAGGTTTCTTTGTGTGAATATGCCAACTTTTTGGCTTAAATTTACTTTTAGAACTTAAACCAAAAAGGCAATACTGACCGCAATAGCTGCCATTTTCCAATTTCCAGCACTATTAGTTTTGGTTTACAGGACTGGAGATCTACAGGACAGACTGATCCCCCTGTCCTTTTCTGGATGTTCCTTTGGGATTCCAGATGAGGTCCCTCGTCACCTTCCCTTAGCCAGAGCTCAGAGGCTGGTCCCAGCTCAAACTGGGCTCACAAACTGAAGTTTTGGGTGATGCTCTCTCTTCCTTCCAGTGGCTTGTGGCCAGCCTCCCGTGGTGGAAAATGCAAAGACCTTTGGGAAGATGAAGCCTCGTTATGAGATCAACTCCCTCATCAGATACCACTGCAAGGATGGCTTCATCCAGCGCCACATCCCGACCATCCGCTGCCAGGGGAACGGACGATGGGATATGCCCAAAATTACTTGCATGAATCGTGAGTTCTCTGAAAGAAAAACACTGGCACATCAGAAACAGCGGGCTGGTTTGAGATAATAAAGTATTGAATGTGTATTTTAAGAGAGGAGCAAGTCTGGTAGGACAGATCATGGTGAAAAAACACCAAGCATCCGAAAGGAATGGAAATTTTCCTCTCCTGTGTCTACTGATGCCTTGGAGTGGCTGCCTAGAACAGAGGGTAGACAAGATTAAGAGAATAAAGTGGGTATTTATTAAAGGCCTTCAATAGGTACACCTTGGGCTGTCAGAAGCCTCCCATGGGCTGCACCCAAAATGGACAATGGTCAACGAGTTTTTCACACAATTATAAGTGTGGTCCATTTGCATTTCAGAGGTTAATCCTCCAATTACAGCTTCAGGTAATGAAGCCATTTACCCCCAGTTTGCTCCCCTCCCAGCCCACTTTTGTTTATACTTCTGGGGCCTGAGGCTGTCCTCAGGCCTAGAGGAGTTGTGTTATCTGACCAAAATGTGAAGACAGTAACTAACACTTTATATGGAGTTTAGAGTCATACCCTAGAGCAGTATAAGATATAAGATTTGAAAAACACAAAAGGCTAAAATCTTAAGGCATCATTCCAGAAGGCATTAAGATTATTTTAAAGTCAGAAAATCCTGGAATCAACAGGTTCCCAATAATGCTAATGACTCTTTCTGCAGCTGTGTGTATGCCTGTAACACTGCCACAGCTCCAGCTAATCATTTGTTTACCCTCTAATTAACAAGGAATAAACAACAACTGTGTTGTGAAGTGTAGCCGGCCCATTCACAGCTTAATTTTAAATGAATTTCCCCCTTTTTTTTTTTTTTTTTTCCCTTCTCCCTTCTCTCTGCAGCCTCCACATACCAAAGGACTTACTCTAAGAAATACTACTACAAACACTCCTCATCAGGCAAGGGGACGTCGTTAAACTCGTCCAAGCACTACCACCGCTGGATCAGGACGTGGCAGGACTCGAGGCGCTGAGAGCTAAATGGTGAATTGGGGATTTCCACCATTTCAGCCAAAGTCATAACTTTCTGTGCCTTTTTCTATCACTTATAGGAGTATTATCGAATCGTTTTGAAACTACGGACTGCAGTATTCACGGCGCGTTTTTGCAAAAAAAAAAAAAAAAAAAAAGGAAAAAAATTTAAAAAATTGCGGTGTTTATCAGAAAATTTAAGAAATAAATAAAAAAGAGGAGAAGTGCTTATGGGGATAAAAGGAAACCATTTCCAGCCTATAAAAGATTATTAGTTTTCTATATGCCATCGGTGTGGACCATTTTATGATATGTACCAGCCTTCTGCAATATTTAAACAGCTCAATTTTAGCACCAATGAAAATGTAAATAAGATGATTTTAATGTTGTTCGACTGTGTGTTGTTTTTAAAATCCTGTATATAAAATGAAAAGTCACACTAATTTCAGGCATATTTATGGTTAGAATGGCCTCAGAGGTCTTCAGTCATTTATGACGTTGTTTCTGTGTTGTTTACCTAGGCTGGAAATGGTTGAAATAAAGACTTCACTGACTGAAATTTGCAATTATCAGGTGAAGATAAACACACAAGTGACATGGCTTTTTTTTTTTTTTTTTTTTTTTTTTAATGGGAGCTGTGCCAATTCCCACCCAAGGTACAGTTTTGTGTCCCATGAGATGAAAAGTTTAGGCAGAGCACATAAAAGTGGCACGAAGCATGAACTAGGGACTGCAATATGGAACGTTTTTTTCTGCTCTCCATTCCAGCTTCAGCACATGTGAGAAAGGACTGTGTGGAGGTGTTGTGTATCACAAGGAGAGCCTGTAAAATTCCAAGTGCTAATACATTAACTTTATCAACCAGGGCCACTTTTTTTTTCTTTTATTTAGGTTTTTTGTTTGTTTGTTTGTTTGTTTGTTTTGAGAAGAGAAAAAAAAGGAAACAAGGAAAAAATTTACTTTCATGATATTAACCACAAGGTCTATATTACAGGTCTCTGCATTCTAAAATGGAGGTAGACCTGGTGTTTGGGGGATTTTTTTTTTGTAGAAAACAAACAAAAATCAAAAAAGTAAATAATTTTGTATATATAACCATTTTTTAATCTTTTTATAAAGTAATGAATGTTTGTGTATGAATGCTGCAGCTGTGAAGCGTACATAAATAAATGAAGTAAGCCATACTGATTTAATTTATTGGATGTTATTTTACCCATACAAAGAAGATTCAAAGAGCTCACCAGTGCAGTATTAGCCCCTGAGCTCCACTTTTGGAACCATCTTTCAGTTCAGCTTGCTCTTTTTCCCAGGAGAACAAAAATTCCTGCTAAACAGGATAATTTGTTGGCGGCTAGATGGGTGGCAGCTGTGTGTGACCCACAGAAAAATCAGGATCTTGGCTTTCTCTAAAGAAGTGTGTGCACAGATTGGTTCTAGGTTGTAGTTTGGTGCAGTGTGTACGTAGGAGTTTTCTGCTATGATTTCTTGCCCTGGTCAGTGCCACCACTGACCTGGATGTGTACAGTGAGGGTAGGAGGTGACGTTTGAAACGGCCTCTCCACGGAAAGGACTGTTGTTCCTGCAAAGTGCCTTGCACACCTTTGGGCACAGGACAAAAAAAAAAAAAACGTAAAAAATAAAAAAAGTTTAAAAAAAGGAAAAAAAAAAACCAGTTAAAAAAAAAAAAACCCGTGAAAATAAAGTAAGTTCCTTAGGATGTACCTTTTAAAGTAACATGAAAAACACACACAGAGGCGCGAGGTTTACGTCTCTGTGTTCGCGTGGGGTTGTGATGGGGACAAAAAAACTGAGAGGGAAAGGAGAAGAATTGAAACGCAGCCAACAGGGCAGAGCTGCCCATGGAGTGACTTTGCCACAGCTGAAAGCAGAGTTCAGACAACATCTCCTGAGCCTGAGGAATGGCAGGGGCTGCCCCCCACCCTTGTGGCAGGACCTCCTTGCGTTGGCCGGTCCATTCCCCACCCCTCACCCCCAAACAATGCACATAATACTTTTCTCTATTTATATTATTATCTTGTATAGTGTATAATGTGAATGTCTGGGGTTTGGTTTTTTTTTTTTTTTTGTGAATGAAAGTCTAAAATCTTTGTAACTTTTATATCTGCTTCTGTTTCACCAAAGAAACAAGGTTTTGCTATACTGTGACTTGTCTTGTTATTGCATGTCTTCCTGTTTAAATCTATGCAATGTGATTTTTTTCATATGAATACAACTAGACTGTCAGGTACTTCACAATTACCTTGGGCTTGGTCAAGTGCCCACTGGAGTCAAAGAGTCAGCTGGCTGAACTTTAGTAGGTGCTGGATGTGACTTTATATGAGCAGCTTTAGGGGATATTTTAAGATATACATTGTATGTTTTGAAGTCGATTATTGCTTGTAAAAGTCAAGGCTCTGTTCATTAAATATACACTAATCTACACATCACTTCCTTGTACCAGAAACACACAGAACAGAAAATATATTTTAACACTTTGCAAACTTTCTCACCATATGTATAAAAAACCCTGCATAGATTTGTTGTTTTCTTGTCTACTTGTTGGATTTAACAATGTTGTAAGACATTCAGATAACATTGTGATTGTAGTTTTAATTAGGTTAGATGCAGTGCTTATATTGATTTTTTTTTCACCTCCTTCTATTACGCATAATAAAATAGGTCTGACAACATTCCTTATTAAAAAAAAAAAAAAAACAACAAAAAAACCACTAAAAAAACCTGTCACCCATGCTTGTTTATTTAGACAGGGAATGACAAGTTATTCAGCTCTGGAGAATTTTTATAATACTGGTGTAAACCCCAAAATGTTTCTGTACCAACACCCTGCAAAATGCACACCCCCGTGTCACAGGGGTGGCTCTGCTGTGAAGCCAAGGTGCTACCATGACAAATGCCATCATTCCTTCACCTGGAGCATCCCTGAACTCCAGTCTGGCCAACAATGCTGGGGTTGGAGGCATAGAAGATAAAACCAGAGATGTCACAAGGGTCTGGAGTGCCAGGACAAAGGGAGATGGCTTCAAATTGAGAGAGAGCAAGGGCTGGCTGGGATCTTGGCAATGAGGAATTGTTCCCTGGCAGGGTGGGCAGGCCCTGGCACAGGGTGCCCAGAGCAGCTGGGGCTGCCCCTGCATCCCTGGCACTGCCCAAGGCCAGGCTGGACACTGGGACACTGCGAGGTGTCCCTGACATGGCAGGGGTGACACTTTAAAGCCCTTTTCAACCCCAGCTGTTCTATGGTTCTATGATCTGAATGCAGATTTTGCATTTTTCGTGCCCATGACAGTCTCTGCAGAGTACCCAGTGCTGCTTCGAACATCCTCCTGTCCCTTCAGACACCAACAGCATTTGAATCCCTGGGGTGCATCCCACAGGGCAGAAATCAGCCAGGACAACTCCTTTGGGAGACCTCAAACAGCAAGAGAAGGAGCTGGTTGGGACACACATTCCAGTTTTCCAGTTACACTCTAACAGATGCACAATTTCATTAAAATTAGATAGAGACATCTTTGCCATGGCAGAACTTTGGTTTGATGGCATCTCCTGCCTCAGACATCCCAACTTGTCAGAGGCTGGGGATGGAGGAGCCCTGTAGGAGCTGGAATTGTAGCAGTGGGGCCAGGAGGATGCAGGCAGGCTGGCAGGGGGCTGCCAGTGGAAAGGATTTGCTGCCAAGAGGGCTTTGGCATCAGAAATTGCTTTGCCAGGGCAGTGGCTGGAGGAACACTGAGGATCACCATGTGGGTATGGTTAAAGTCAATGTGATACCCTTTTCTAAGAGAAAATTCTTCATTTCTGTAGGTGACATCTCTGCCCTGAGCACAGGCAGAGACCATCCCTGGGCCATGGGAGTTGAAACAGCTGGTGCAAAAAGAAAAACCCATTATTTTCCAGAGAAAACACATAACTTGTGTTGTTGATTTTAAGTAATGATGTGTGCAGGACTCCACGAGCACATTGTTCTTCCTGGTGAATGATGAAAAAGATACAAACAATGCTTGGAGGAAACATGGCCAAAAGCTTGAAGGCCACACAAAGCTGTAAGCATGGCAGAGAAAAGAAGTAAGGACAGAAACATCACCCAGAAAAAGGTGTATCATTTCAGCCCTCCAGCAGCAGACCTGGAAGGAAGCTTAAGGGCTTGTACAGTGCAGTTTGATGGCAACTTTTGTTTTCCATAGCAAATAAATATTTCCAGGTGGGGAAGCCATCAGCTGTCAGTGCAGCAGAGGCTCAGTCACTGTGTAAATGCTGACAGAACAGAGAAGCAGAACCTTGAGTTCTACAAGTGAGGAATTTATTGCTGGGGCAGGGATGGGTTGGTGACAGTACCAAAATGCCTCCAGATTTCCAAAAGGTGGGACAAATGAAATGAAGCTGAAAGTGGCCCAGCAGCCATTTTTTCACCCAGTTTCTGTGGTGGTTGAAGGAGAAAGTAAAAGGAAGACAAACACTGTTGGTGGTCCTGCATGGATGCAGCAGCGTAAGGAGCAAGGCTGCTGGGATTAAGCTCTGGAAGTTACATCATGCAGTGGTGAGCAGTAAAAACCCTTCTGGAGGCAGAAGGGCAATCAGTTTAGGGAAGGGAATAAATGGTGTGGTTGTCTCTGGTAGCAGGAGAATGACAGGAATTTGGGTCCTGTGTTTCTTCCAGCCTTCGAGGTGGTAATTGCACGTAATGTTCCTATTTGGTAGGGAAAAAGAGCAAAGCAGAGGTTTGGCACAGGTCACACAAAAAGATCTGGGGCAGACCTGAGTGTTCACTAAAGGCCCTGTTCTTCCACAGGCTTGAAAAAAATAAAAAGAGGAAAAAGAAAAAATTGACTTTTCTAAGCAGGTGATGGAAGATTTAATTGCAAAAGGCAGTGGGATCCCAGTTTAGTCTTTTCAGAGTCAGAACAAACGTTGGACTCACCCAAGTATCATGATTTTGTCAAAATAAATATTCTCAATAAGCTTGGGAACAGAGGAAGAAGCACCAGATGTTGCTGATGGTGCTGTTTGCTTGCTGGAGGAAGGATCCCTTTGGTTCTTCCTGAAGGGAGCTTCTTCCACCTCTGCTTAAACCAGGGCAGCTTCCAGATGTGCTAAAATCCTTAGCAAAGATCCAAATTCCAGGAATTGAAAGGATCTTGGATTATCAAAGATCAAAAATTCTTACCAAGGACCAAAAATTCCCATATAGATGGATTTTTTAGTACATGGCAGGGTAACATCCTCTGTGCCTCCCAAAAGTGCATTTCCACAGAAATATGTGCTCTGTAAACAAAACGTGGATTTTGGTGAATTTCAAACCATGCTGCAGCTAGGCTGATATTTGCAGCTTGAAAACAGGTGATGGCAAAAGGCTGAAATGCCGGACCATCCCCTTTGCTTTTGAGGGAAATAAAGATATTTCTTCCTTTCATCAACCTGAACAGGTTGTGCTGGTTTCCTCATCCTCTCCCTTTATAAAGAGAACTCATTTCCCTTATCCCTGCCAGATGATCTGGAGCAAAGTTCTGTCCCCTTGCACTCTGCCATCACCCACCCAGATCAGTGGATGAGGATTTAAGGGAAAAGATTTGGA